GTGGGTTTTCAGTCTGACAGGAGATGTGGCGATGGAGGATAAATATAATTCACTTCTTTTGGTCTCTGTTTGGAATTAGCTGACAATCACTGCTCGCAGTTGTGTCATCGTGAGCCATCTGCAGTTGTGTGTTCCTGCTACACCGGATACCAGCTAATGCCTGATGGCATGACCTGTGAAGGTAATTACTAGCCATGGGTTGCCTTGTAACACCATCTGAAATGCTCCTTCCCCCCTCTACAGTGCCTGTAAACAATTACTGCAGAGTGTCAGACCCCCTCGCACATCCCTCTTGGTGAGGTGGCCAGCACACTCTCAGGTTTGTTCTGGAAGTGCTGACCCTCCTCAGCACAGGACCATGTTCAATACACCCTGCTGCCTCGCCAAACAGAGCAAACTCGCTCGTTTTCGCCACAGTTCATTTTCTCCCATTTGACATTCTTGTCTTTGCCCTGATGAGGTGTGAGACAATACTGTGCCATCTTTTCAGTGACACTCCTTCTCCTGTATCTGTGATCTCCCTGGTTTATACTGTAGGAGTTACATGTTGTATTGTTAGACTTTGAGCTTTCACTATTCCAGAAAGCAATACTCTTTCCCCTTTCTCTTACAGAACTGTGTGAGATTCCTTCTTCCTCATTCTGTTGTAACTCTTCTCTGACCTTCTTCTCTTTGTCCATCTGCCTCTCTCTCTCTGTCTCTATCAATCTGCCTTCTCTCTGATTCCTATCCATTGCTTCCCCACTCTATACCTCTTGCTCGCCCCTACCCCATTTCACCCCTCCACTTCTCTCTGTTTCACATTCTACCGCCATCTGCCCCCCCCCCCCCTCTCTCTGGCCCCCCCCCCCCCCTTTCCTCTGCTCCCCCCCCCTCTCTCTCTCTCTGTTCCCCCTCTCCATGCTCCCACTCTCTCTCTCTCTAAGATTGGTTGAGTAGCAGATAGTGAAGGGGACTGTCAGAGAATGCAGCAGAATATAGATAGATTGGAGAGTTGGGCGGAGAAATGGCAGATGGAGTTCAATCCAGGCAAATGCGAGGTGATGCAGTTTGGAAAATCCAATTCAAGAGTGAACTATACGCTAAATGGAAAAGCTCGGGGGAAAATTGATGCACAGAGAGATCTGGGTGTTCAGGTCCATAGTACCCTGAAGGTGGCAACGCAGGTCGATAGAGTGGTCAAGAAGGCATACGGCATGCTTTCATTCAGCAGACGGGGTATTGAGTACAAGGGTTGGCAGTTGTATAGGATTTTGGTTCGACCACATTTGGAATACTGCGTACAGTTCTGGTCGCCACATTACCAAAAGGATGTGGATGCTTTGGAGAGGGTGCAGAGGAGTTTCACCAGGATGTTGCCTGGTATGGAGGGCGCTAGCTATGAAGAGAGATTGAGTAGATTAGGATTATTTACATTAGAAAGACAGAGGTTGAGGGGGGACCTGATTGAGGTCTACAAAATCATGAGGTATAGACAGGGTGGATAGCAAGAAGCTTTTCCCCAGAGTGGGGGACTCAATTACGAGGGGTCACGATTTCAAGGTGAGAGGGGAAAAGTTTAAGGGAGATGTGCGTGGAAAGTTCTTTACGCAGAGGGTGGTGGGTGCCTGGAACACGTTGCCAGCGGAGGTGGTAGAGGCAGGCACGATAGCGTCATTTAAGATGTATCTAGACAGATACATGGATGGGCAGGGAGCAGAGGGATACAGATCCTGGGAAAACAGGCAACAGGTATATAGATAGAGGATCTGGATCGGCGCAGGCTTGGAGGGCCGAAGGGCCTGTTCCTGTGCTGTAATTTCTTTGTTCTTTGTTCTCTCTGCTCCCCCCACTCTCTCTCTCTGCTCCCCCCCCCCTCTCTCTCTGCTCCCCCCCTCCCCTCTCTCTGCTCCCCCTCTCTATCTCTGCCTCCTCTCTCTGCTCCCCCCTCTCTCTCTCTCTGCCTCCCCCTACCCTATGTCTGCTCCCACCCACTCTCTCGCTGCTCTCTCCCTCTCTCTGCACCCCCTCTCTCTCTGCTCCTTCCCTCTCTGCCCCCCGCCCCTGCCTCCCCTCCTTGCTTCTCAGTCCTTTCTGTTTTTTTCTGTCCATTCCTCTCTCTCCGCCCATTTCCCTCTTCCCCCCCCCCACTTACTGTCACTTCCACCTTTTTTCTCTGCCTGTACCCCACTTCCCTGTCTGTCCCCCACCTCGTTCCTCCCTTTCCCTCTCTGTCTGTCTGTCTGTCTCTCTCTCTCTCCCTGGACAGATGTGCATGTGTGCATCATCAGAAATCACAGCTTCTGTCACCAGCTCCGGTGCTTTAACCTGTAGGGGTGGGGGGTGGGGTGCGGTGCGGTGTTCCGATGTGCTGAAGGCAGTGAGCTCTGTGAGGAAGGCTACACCCTTATCCAGAACGGGGCTTGTGTCCATAAGACCCCCATCATCTGGAACATGCAAAACGCCCACAAACAGAAATAATTCCACAAGAGGCTGTTATGTCATCAGCAACAACAGGGCTGCCTCATACAGAGTCCGGTACCAGAGGGTCAGTATTTCTGACACTCTCTCACTCTTCATGTCAGCCAGGGCTCCCAGATTGGCCCAGGTTAACAGCCCCAATCAGGGAACCCGTGTTCTGTGAGATCCACCTGGCTGACCTCATTACAATCAGTATAGTAACATATCTCTGTTTGTCTCTCAATGACACAGAGAATCACTGCTCTCAGGTTTAATGGGAACTATATACAGATATCCTCCTGAGAGAGAGACACCAGTCTGTGTACAGATATCCCCCTGAGAGAGAGAGAGAGAGAGGGGGGGGGATCTGAGAGATACCAGTCAGTGTACAGATAGCTCCCTGAGAGAGAGAGAGGGGGGGGTTACTGAGAGATACCAGTGTACAGATATCTCTGTGAGATCGCTTCCACATTGCAATGAATTTCTGATAGTTTGATGTCCTTGCCACAGTGAGTGGGACCAGCGGCCCCTGAGCCTCAGTGCTGTCATTTCCCCAACCCTGTTCAGACCTGTTCACCCAAACAGATATTGATGAATGTCAGGAAAGCCGATGTGGCCCAGGTCTCATCTGTGAGAACACCCCTGGCTCCTTCATCTGCTGCAACAGAACACAGTGTGGGCCAGGACTGTCTCTCGATTCTCAAGGTAGCTGTGTTGGGTTTCCCCCCTGTTTCAGGTTCAATAGGAAATCTTCTCTCAGCCAAGGGTGGGTCAGGCTTAATATACCATCCGCAGAAGTGGAATCTAATTGAGCAAGTTTCTGATGGTGTAACTGTTCCTGCCTCTCTCTCTCTCTCTCGTTATCAGACACTAATGAATGCGAACAACTCCAGCAGCCATGCACAGAGGGTTTCAACTGTGTCAACACCATTGGGTCTTACAGCTGTCACCGAAACATTATCAGTTGCAGCCGGGGATACAAGGCCAGTGAAGACCATGCTCGGTGTATTGGTAAGTACAGACCCACCAGCCTTCTGCCTCTGTACCCCTGCTATTGTATCCGTGTTCAGGCTATGGGACCAATGCTGTTGTGTCTCTCTCTCTCTGGCCGTGCAGATATTGATGAATGTCAGATGGGGACACATCACTGCAATAATGAACAGATCTGCCATAACACTCCTGGGAGCTATCGCTGTGAATGTGCACAGGGCTACCACATGGACCCATACAGCAGAGCCTGTGTAGGTACGAACATTGTTCCAGTGAAACACTCGGGGAGTGAGATACAGACTGGAATTGAATCGGAGCATTCCCGGAATGACAGATCACTGGGAGGGTGTGTGTGTGTGTAGATATCAGCGCAGACAAATCTAATGGTCTTACTACCAACCCCCCCCTCACATAGATATCGACGAGTGCCAGAGGTACAGGGGACGTGTGTGTACCCAGAACTGTGAGAACACAATGGGATCCTACCAGTGCTCCTGTGGGGCTGGCTACAAACTGGCGGAGGATGGGAGGAACTGCCAAGGTACCTGGTGCTGCTCGGTCTTCAGGGGAGGAGGGCTCCCAGGGTAGGCTGATAACCACAGCCTGGTCTAATCCCACTCACTCCCTTCCCTTTCCCCTCCTTCTCCCTATTTAACACCATGACTTTCTTACTCTCCCTCCTGCCTTGCAGATGTTGATGAGTGTGAGGCTGGAGCCTGTAGCCAGCAATGTGTGAACGTCCATGGGTCTTATCAATGCTACTGTTGGCCAGGATACTCCCTCAGCCCACTGGACAGAACGACCTGCCAAGGTGAGTCCTGCCACGTACGTGCCTTTCCCGAGCTTCGACCCAAAATTCCTCACGTCATCGAACGCTTGAGCCAAAGCTCCAATCCAACCACTTTTCGCTGTGAGGCAGGGGAGGTGTCTAAGTGCTGGAATTCAATGGCTCAGTAAAAGGGGCATTTTCTCCTTTCAGATATTGATGAGTGCTCCCTAACCTCCACCACCCTGTGTACCTATCGATGTGTCAACACCCCGGGATCCTTCAGCTGTGCTTGTCCTGCTGGCTACATCCTCGCCCAAAATGGGAGAAATTGCAAAGGTGAGGCATTTATGGTCACGTCTCGATAATAATTGTGTGCTGACAGTCTGCCTGTAGCACAGTGACACCCCCTACTTTTATTCTCCAGATCTGGATGAGTGCTCATTGGGGACCCACAACTGCTCTGGGGCAGAGACCTGCTTCAACATACAGGGCGGATTCAAGTGCCTGTCCTTCGAGTGTCCTCCCAACTACCGCAAGGTGGGACAGAAGTAAGTAACTGTGCTGCTCCTGGGTTTGATTCCACCCTCGGGTGCTCTGGTTTCCTTGCACAGTCCAAAGATGTGTAGGTTAGGTGGATTGGCCATGGGATGCCCTTCAGAGGGTCGGTGTGGACGCGATTGACCTGCTTTCATACTGTAGGGATTCAAAACAACCAGCCAATGAATATCTTTTTTTAATTCATTACCAGGTCGCTGGCCAGACCAGGTAAGGATGGCAGATTTCCTTCCCTAAAGGACATTAGTGAACCAGATGGGATTTTCTGACTATTGTCAAATTATTTCATGGTCATCATTAGACTCTCAATAAAAATATCTGGAATTGAATTCAAATGCGGGTCTCTGGCTTAACAGTCCAGCGATAATAGCACTAGGCCATCACCTTTCCCTGCCCAATCACTAACGGTACAATGTTTTCTTTTAAATGTTGTGTAGCCAATGCGAACGCCTGTCATGCCAAGGTTATGTTGAGTGTCAGACAGTGCCACAGAGGATCACCTACTACCAGCTCAGCTTCCCCACCAACATTCGGGTACCTGCTGACATTTTCCGCATCAGCCCCTCGCCTGTCTACGTGGGGGACAACATCCTGCTGGGCATCACCCGCGGCAACGAGGGGCTCCACTTTGCCATCCGTCGGGTCGATGCCTACACAGGGTTCGTGTACCTGCAGCTTCCACCCCAGGCGCCCCGAGAATTCCTCCTCGACGTGGAGATAACCCTGATCCGACGGGGCCGCGCCACCAAGTTCATCGCCAGGATCCACGTGTTCGTCACAGGACCCTCGCTGTGACAGCGTCCAGCTATTCACTCCCCCTATTAGATGAAGGGTCAGAGAAATTCTTTTCATAAGCTGCAGCTGTAACTGTGTACGAGAAAAGCTTCTCTGTTTCTGTGCCGCAATCAGAAACAAAAACTAATGGTTCATGATATCAGGACAAGGAAACATAATTAACCCCAAAAGGAGAAGTGAAACAGCTACACACAAATTGCTGGTTGGAAATCAAAATGTTTGATGCCTGAGTAATAGGTTTCTGTTTCAGACACAGCTGTTTGAAAACATAATCCAGTGTCACATTAACAATGGAGAACGTACAAAATATTGTACGTTCTCCATTGTTAAAGTACTCGTGTGTTCTGTCATGATGCAGTGAACTCAGGAAGGTTTGCACTTTTTTGGGAGCTGCACAAGGGGAGAGAAAACTTGCATCGCACTGGCTCCTTCTACCACCATAGCACGTACTGTGTCACCTGAAAAATAGCCAATTTGCCTGCAGCAATTGATCAACACAAACTCCCCCTTTACCAACCCACCCTGAAAGGACAAGATGCAGAGGGAAGTTGCCTTTTCTTCACCGTAGCCAACTCAAAATCCTAGAGCTCTCATAATGAGCACTTCCCCCTCCTCCGCCATGTGGCGTAGGAGGGGGTTGTTATCACAGGGCATTCCCCCAAGACAGAATTAAAGAACAGAGAAACAGCTGCCATTGTTAAACACGTCTCTAATGTTTTATTTCTAGAATAACCCGAAAGAAACCCTAAAACAAACAAAAAGCAATAAAGAAAACAAATAGTTGTAACAAATTAATTACACGCAGTACGTAATTACAATGCAGTAGGGGGAGGGGAAGGACGGTGGAGAGAAGGGGGTCGGGAGGGACATTAGTTTCACCATTCCTTCAACTGGTACCATTTACTGTACAGTTCACACATTGAGGAGCTTAACAACGACTTGGCCCCTGTTGACCAACTACCACTAGCCCTGCAGCTTGAAAGTTTAGTGTGAGCCTTTAAAACAGGCAAAAAACATTTTATTTAAAAAAGAAACAGAAAGACCACCCGAGGGGGGATGGGAGCGCGCACACAATTTGGAAGAGGCTATTTCACAGAACAGACCGTCTCCCCCACGAACAGGCTTGTGCACAGCAAGACAACTGTGTCAGGCATAACAAGGGAGTAAGGGGAGGGGGGGGAAGATTTCTGAGGGGTCACTGCAGGATTGTACAAGGCTTGTAGACTGAATACAAAAATGGGAGAGGAGTGCAGGTGGAATTACCGGTTATTGCAACTGCCAACCAGGCCATGATGGCTGTCTGCTCCCCACCCCCACCCCCCTCGCCTGTCCCTGTCTCCGGGTACCAGGGGCCTATGCTGACCACCGCCTGGCCCTCTTCCTCGTGGCGCTGTCTGCGCAAGACCCAATGCAGTCTCAATCCATGCACCACCCCAACGTCACGCCAGGCACCGGAAACATCTCAAATCGGTGCCTGCCCAGAGACAACATCAAACCAACGATGGCCAATTTGACTTCGTCACCGAGATGACCCGTGTTCCTGACAGAATGGGGGTAGGGGCAGCAGGGGTTCAGTGACCTCATTTGGTGACACCAAATCCCTGTTTCCACCTTTCCTCCCCCACTCTTCCCCCCTGCCAAATCACAACCACTGACCTCTTAGGGCAACTCGAAACTCAATCCAAAACCCCTCCACAATTGCTAGTGGTGGGGGAGGAAGAAGGGGGGAGGGGGTTTATTGGGGATGGGGAGAGGACAGACACATGCACTGGAGTGTTGAGGAGGATGTTCTGTGACCTCCCCACCCCAACCTCATGGGTGGATCAGGGCTTGGAAATAGTTTCAACTTAAGGCCTCCTCAATCAACCTCCCCAACAACCACCCCCCCACCCACCAAACCCCCATACCCCACCCACAAAAACCCTATAACCCACTCTCCCAGACCCTGGCAGTGGCTACAACCTGCCAGAGTGTCCCACCCCCACAAAGGCCTGTTTCCAGCCCTCCACCCCCACACTCCTAGGCTTGCGTCTGGCCTGGGTGGGGAGGAAGGAGCTCCGATGTTGCTGTATTTGGGATCATCCCCAACTCTCCTCTTCCCACTCTCTCTCTCGCCCACTCCCTCCCCCAATCATACACCCGCCCACAACCCCCTCCCCCCACCCCCCCAACCCTCCCTCCCCACCCCCGGCCCTTCTTCGCAGTTGCTCTCAGCAGGGTGATGCCTGCCACACCTGGGTGTGGCAGGTTGGCCGTGAGTCCATGACAAGATGCCAAGGGGATGCCCTTCGATCATAACTGCTGGAATGGAGAGACACACAGAGACAGAGTGAAAACCCAACTGAGAGACCAGCAGCAACAGCCAGGCAATTACATATCAACAACAAAATCTAAAAAACAAACTAAGGTTTGGAGATGTGTGAACCCACCTCTCTCGCTCGAGCTGACACCAGTCAGCCCAAGGGAACCAGAGTCAGGTTCAACCTGTGTATCTACAGCATGTTTCTCATACACACACACATATACCACAGGCACTGCCCGAGAACATCCCTGAGACAGTATCAGGCCCTGAGCTGTGCTAGCAGCTATCAGGACAGTATCGAACTGCTCAGTCCAGAAGGGCAGGGTTTAAAGGGGGTGAGAGATTCGGAGAGACGCAGAGGAACGGGAAGGACCTCAGAGGATGGAGGGGGTGTAGGGGCAGGAGGTGGTGACTGAGATATGAAGGGGGCTGGAAGATGGAGGGGGTGTAGGGGCCGGAGGAGGTGACAGAGATAGGGAATGATGAAACACTGTGAAGGGTTTTGAAACCATCGGAGACAGTGTTACAATGGCGGTAACACAGTGTGGAGCTGGAGGTGTTACTAGATTTGGAGTGAATGGTTTCTATATCACTGCATGCAGCCAGAGAGACGGCAGAGTTCATGTAGCCGCATTCGATCGCAGTGGATTGGAACAGTGCAGTTTGGAGGTAATGAAGGGCTCCAGTAGCAGAGGAAATGAGAGACAGGGGCAGGGCCAAGACAAACCTACAGAAAAAGTGAGACATATTGTTAATTGAGAGGTAGGGTGGTGGTGTGTGAGATTAATAACACTCTTGTGTAACTTTAGCCACTCTGATATTAGATGGCCAGAGCTGAATGTAACAGATTAATCAGGTTTCTCCAATGGCAGCCTACAGGCTGTGGTGGTCATTAAACCAGAGGATCTAGGCAATAGTGATCATAACATTAGACACAGGCATATTAACTGATCCAGAGTCGGGGGAGCAACTGGAGGCAAATTAGATTTCTGAAATTAGAATTTGGGAGACTCACTGGCCCCAGCGACACAGGCCCAGCAACAGGAAATGTCGCTGTGTTAATAGATATGAAAGGATTAGCTAAGCTCTCCTCCTGAACACAGGCCAAATGGACAAAGATACTGAGGCCGACAAATCAGTATGTGACTGGGGAAAATGCAAAAAAAAAAAAACATTGATCGAGGACAGATGAAGAAGTACTGCACAGGACAAAGAGCACAATGTCGTAAAAGATGGTAAATTAGTAAAAAGAATTCTACACTCTCATAAATGAGAGAGATTGAGGCGAGAGGCAGAGCATCATGAGAAGGAAGCAAGATAAAACTACTATAAACTGGTCAGCCTGATGTCAGTACTGGGGAAAATGCTGTTGAAAGACCAGGAATCCCAGAACCATGATCTAAAGGAGACAGCACAGGACTGAGATGGGGAACAATGTCTTCACCCAGAGAATGGGAGCCTGTGGAATTCTCTGCCACAGAAAGTTAGATATAGTTGTTAGGGCTAAAAGGGATTAAACGGAGAAAGCAGGAAGGAGGATCTGGGGGTTAGATGATCAGCCATGACCTGATTCAATGATGGAGCAGGCTTAAGAGGATGAATGGCCCCACTCCTGCTGTTTCTCAAACATTACAACGGTGTGAATGGCCTCCCTCTTTGGAATGACTGCACTGTATCAACATCCAAAGCAGTGATGGTAATAAAAGCTGAAATACTGATAATATTCTGTTTCAGAGTATGAGGGTGGGAACACAAAAGTTTTGATGGAGGGGGTCTTGGGAAGACAGCTTTCAGGATCTGAAGGTGAGGAGCAGACTGACCAGGACAATCCGAGGAATCCCTCGTAGGGAGAGGG